AAAACCATAGAGGATAGGATTTTTCTTATACAGAGAAAACAATCTTTGCAGGATGTCGCGGAGAGTTAACGTCTGCGCCACAGTGCTGCTCGTCCTGTTCGAGCTGACCGCGTCGGCCATGGTCCTGCCGAGGCCACCCTCGTCGCCTAATCACATCCACCAGGATCAGGAACTGTCCGCGCGTAAATCTCTCGAGGGCAAGTCTCTGCACAGCATTACGCGAAACACCAACGTAGAGAGACCCGATACCGAGGACTACAGGTATCGATTTGCCAACGTTCGTCCGACGCGGCCTTTTCCACGTCATTTTTTTTTTTTTTTCCCATATCGCCGACCGGTATCGATATTATATTCCACGACCGTCGCACCGCGCACGCTGCACCGGCAATTCACTTTCGTTTCGCGTTTAGAATTGCAAACTCGTTCGAACTGATCGATTATGTCCGTCAATTGTTATCGCCCGATCGATCTTTAATCGAAGTCTGGTCTTGAAATAGTATAATAAGACATTATCGAGGATCACTCGGATAAGTTGATCGTAAATTTAATTTAACGTATAATGCAGAATTTTATTAAGTTCTAAGTCTTTTTTTTATTAATGCATTTCGCTAAATATTAACGGATGGACAAACGATGGCAGCGTTATTCCACTCTACTTTACTCCTTTTCGGGAAACTCTCTCAACTGACTCACCCGCGATTACGAAACGATATTTACTTCGGTCTCGCGATTCTAAATCGCTCGAACAAAAGAGGAAAATCCTAACTGAAACGCCGTTCTTTCCCACCGGCGCGGCGGAAAGCGGCCCAATTAGCGCGAATGAAAAGCCGCCTTCGTTGCGGCGCACGAGAAACGTGAGAAACTCGGTCGGGTAATTGCTCCCGTGTAATTTCAACGATGGCAGATTTACGTGACCACAATTCGTATCTTCGGCACCGATACGCCGCGCACCGGGCGCAACCGGTAATTTTGAAAGTAAAATAGTAAGCGCGATTAAGGCTAGACAAACCGATTGTCTCCCGATTCTCCTCTCTCCGTGCGCCCCGCGCCCGTGCGGCACTGCGGCCGCGATCGCTGCGGTTTAATAATCGCGAATATCCGCGAATACGTTTGGGCAGAGTGGCATTTCTGAACAATGACACCTGCAATCGTGATCGGATTAACCTCGTAATGTTGTGAAAATAAAAAAAGGCAATCTCCCGCGCTCGCCGCTCGCTCAATGCCTACCGCTAATATCCGATTAGCTTCGTCGTTATGCTGTTCCTATCTGCTACTCATACCGTATATTTACGGTTGATTATCCGACGTCTCAAAGCTCCATCCGTTCGATATCAATCTTCGGCGCTCGTTTCGTATTAGCGAAAAGCTATAATCTACATGAAATTAAGTGAAATTGAATTTCCTCTCTCTTCGTCGCAGGCTCTTCGAGATCGAGCTGCAGAGCCCGGACGAGATGGACGCCGCGAATTTGCAGGGTCTGATGAGCACGATGCTGAAAGAGGAACAGCGAACGCCGACGAACGACGACTATCCGAATCCCGAAGTGATCCCGCACTCGATCCTCGGTGTACGAGACGTGGGCCTGAGTCCGAATTATCGTCTGGACACCTTCGACGATGACAAACGCGCATCGTTGAACCCACCGAAGCTGCCGAGTCTCGACGAGAAGCTGTATTACCTGAAGAGCGGCCGGCCCAAGGTTTACGTGAACGTGCGAGGACACAGCGGATCCTTCCGCAAGGATACCATCGCCCCGCCGTCCACGGCGACCCCGAGCGAGGGCGCGGTGGGATACCTCAGGGTCACTCGACCCTTCGACAGGCAGACCGACTGGAAGACGCGGGACAAGAAGATTCGACCGCCCAAGAAATTCGATCGTCGCGTCGACGGTATCGTTCTGAGCAACGAGGAGATCGGCAAAATGAACGATCAAGCAACGTCTTATGGCGCGGACGAACAGTCGACCACGGAGAATTCCATGGTCACGTCTAGCGAATTACCTAAACAGATACCTGCGCCGCCTAGCAAAGTCCATGGACGCAGTCTGATGGCGCAGACCACGCCTGTGCAGAGGTACGCACTTAGGAGGACAGATATTCTGCCGGGATACGGCTTCATCGAAGAATAAAATCAAATATCTGTATGAAAAGGTAAAAATTTAACTTCTCCGAAAAGTATGTTTAATCGCGAGCCTCAAGATTTCATGCTTGTTTGAAAGTACAAAAAAAGATTGATTTGACGACATATTTCGAAATAAAATATTACATAATAATCATTAACATTGATTACACATACATTCCTTCTATCAAATTATTAATTACTGTTTGTATTACTTATCGCAAACATTATATGGATAATTATTGGCCAAAGTTTTTCCATATTTTGTAAGCGTTATGAAATTTCAGACAATTCGTTGAGGAGTTAACTGTGATTGTATGAACAATATATTACTTCATCTTTATGAAGTGAACATCACTTCGTAATTTTCATAATTTTCAGAATTCGATGTAATTAATAGAATTATAGTTCTTCTCCAAAGATATGTTTAAAGATACATTTCAAAATTTCAAAAAGCAAAAAAATTTTTGACGATTAATTATAAAAGATAGAATTCCAAAATATATAAAGTGTCAACTTTCATTGTATGAAAATTAATCAACTTTTTTATTTTAGTTAGGCTCAATCTAATAGGAGAAAAGCTAGAACTCAGTCAATCATACCGAAATTCTGAAAATAAAATGTTATTTTTGTAGAAGTAGTTATTAAGTCTCGGAGAAAATGTTGCAACGTTAAATTTTCTCCGCGTATTAGTCTTGAACTTAATTTATGCCGAATATAACGACCCACGATATAAATATATAAATATTGTTATTTATACAGATTAATATATGCTTGTAATATATATATATAGTTAACTAATATAGAATTAAGAGAATATATAGTAATATATTAACTTGCTCTAGTAATAAATTAGCGCGCAAGCCAGTAAAATATTTTTATTACTCACATTCTCTGGCAATTTGCTGTTCATCCAAGATATGAACAAACCCCGTGACTAATTTAACGTAAATTACAAAGAGAATAATATTAATGAAAAAGCTTACCTGCTCCGCCTTCAATGTGAGTTCAATGAAAATCTGCTGTAATTTCTCATTCACGAAATTTATGCAGAATTGCTCGAAACCGTTTTTATCAAATATCTCGAAGCCATATATGTCCAAAATTCCGATCTCGTATCCATCCGTGTTTGTCTCCATGGCTGAATTAACTTTCTGTAAAATTGTTAACAACTCAGTAACGGAAGAAGTAAACGCCTTTTAAAAATCATGCGATAATTTTTGGTTAAAAGATTACGTTGATCTAATTAAAATAGATATTTTTTAATACCAAATAAGAGCAATTTATTCCCTTGTGCGAGTAAAGATTAAAGAGATTAGACTAGTAATTATTTTCTATAAAAACCAAAATTATAATGCTTGTCGTTCAATTAACTTTTCATATTATTGTAATTATATGAAAATGTGTACACTTATCTCTGACAAGTGAAATTATATAATTAACGCAAGACATGCAATTTTTTTATATGTAATTTTAAACTCAATCATTTTGGATAAGCTTCAAAACTTTGGATGAATGCTCTACCACACCTTGACCAAATAGTCGAAAAGCCTAGCGTAGATGTCCTTTGCCAAAGCGTCTCTCGCGTAAAGCGCCTGTTCCACATTCAACGTCACGTCCACGCTTTCGGATTGATTTCCCCATTTCGATTCGAATTCTCGAGAAATTAATTTGTAAGACAGATGCTCTGCCGAAATTCCAAAAAGATAGGCTGGAAACTCGAGAACTAAAAATAAAACATATTCATACTAAGAAAAACAATTGTTTAAGCAGAAAATGTAAATAATAATACAAACACGCGCAGAAATTATATTAAAATTTATTTTACTATCAATCGATCAGTAATGTTTATATATACGATAAGCGGATAAGATATATAGATAAGTACGTTTTGTGCGATTTATATATAACAAAATTATACCGATAACAGATAAGTTATATAACTAATCGTATTTTTATTTCTTAACTAGTAGAATAACTTACATTGTTTATCGGCTATCTGCGAATAATTGCCCTTTTCGACAAACTGTATATTTCCCACGTGAAGAATTCCAGCTACCAATCTGAATATATTCATCACTTCTGCATCTTTTATTCCCATAACACTCAACGCTGTAGACATAAAACAATACATAATTATTAAATTAGTGTGGTCTATTAATAGTTAGGAAAGAAGATACGAGAATGTACTATAATAATTACGGAACATTATAATTGCACGAAAATTAATTAATACTGCAAAATACAATTATGTACCTTTAAGAGTTTCCTGAAAATCCCGCGCATCATTTGTGCCGTCCACCTTATAATTACCGCCGTAACTCAGATATTGATAATAATTGAGATCCGTTAATCCAAATTCCGCTATAAAATTGAAATTCTTTTTTTATTATTTGTCTAAACGTTTCTAAACTATCCTAAATTACTTTTCATTTGTCAACGATACTTTTATCTCTCAATCATCCACTCACTTTTCATTTCTTGATTGGCGCCCGTCGTCAGCTGATAAAATATATGAAAATTCCGCTCGCCGGGATTGTGGCAAGTTACTCTTGATTTTTCCAGAAGAAAATTCGAAATTTTGCCACCGTTCGGCTGACCGCCCGATCCGAATTGCATCTCGACGTATTTTCCCTGAAAATTTAAAAAAAGACTTTTTTTGTTTCCTTTCAAATAATAACTTTGTTGATTGTAATGCAATTATAACAAATTGGTGAAAACTAATGGATTAATTCGAGCACAACTTGCTGAGACGTACGAATCTGCTGCTGTTGTTGTTTCTCACTGTCTTCGCGTTGCCGAAAGCTTCCAAGAGTGGATTTGATTCCAAGATCACGTCCTTTACTTTCTGTACCTTCTTGCCTCCACCGCTCACCCTCGCCACATAAGACATTATGTATTTCGCCGTGACCGTTTTTCCAGCGCCCGATTCACCACTGCGAAATAAATATTGATAAATGACAAGTACATTTTCGATAAATATATTAAATAAAAATTGTGTAAAATATACATCAAATATAAATACATCATTCTAAAATTCTTTCCTACGTAAGATCATCTTAATGCAAGTATCGTTTACCTAATAATGACGCAATGACTTTCGTTGTCGATCAGCATATTTCTGTACATCTCGTCCGCCAGTCCATAGATGTGCGGTGGATTCTCGTACGGTGCCTAAAATGACACGAGACCTTTTTAATGTCTCTTCCAACGAGAAAAATAGCATTTTCACCCTTACCGCGCCTTGATATATCTCGACTTCCTTCTCTCCGAAGTATGGCATCTGCTTGAAAGGATTAACCGATACCAATACGGGTCCGATGCACGTCTGATGACATTTTAAGGAACATTTCACGAATTATTTGCCACAGTTAATTAAGCTATCGTGATATACGCTTCCCAGAAATTATGTATTTCCTCCCCTCCCCTCCCCTCCCCTCCCCTCACGAGACATATTTAATACTAGCATGCCCCGCCGGACTTCACCCCGAAAAACTTGTGTATTAAGATACGCAAATAGTCTCTCCCTCTCTCCCCCTCCCTCCCCCCTTTAAATTAATTTTTTTTTACGTAGTAACGAAAAACTATACAGCCCCTGTATAGGGCCTGAAAAATTCTGCCCCTGTTTAATCTAGAATTCTTTGAGATTCAGCCAATTATTTCCCGAAAAATTAAAAAAATTAAAAAAACCGGTTTCTCCAGGAAATCGGTAACAAAAAACTATACACATAGTGGCACTCCCCGGAAAATTCTACCCCTATTTCATATACTTTTTGTAAAAATTCAGTTCAGGGGTTTGGGCTGGGCGTTGATGAGTGAGTGAGTGAGTGAGTGAGTGAGTCAGTCAGTCAGTCAGGACATCTTCCTTTATATATATATAGATCTATTCTAATATTAAGCAAAAAAGGATACAAATATGTAATCGTCCATGTATCTCTTTCTGATGTTCTCGATGATGGCGTCCTCGTTGATCTTCGGCAAGAGGACCATATCGTCCACTCCGGAAATTTTGACATTTTGACTCTGCCAGTGGTACACCTGAGGATGAAGAAATAAATTGATTTTGATTAGCTAGAACACGTTTTTGATTTCGTGTCGTCGCGAATTTATTGAAATTACGAACGCAGCGACGCGACGCGACGCACGAGAAATCGGCGGACGTCGCGCATTGCGAATCCAATTACAATTTCTGTGTCGCGAGTATCAGAAGTGCTTATTCGCTCCGACGTTTCACGGATCGCCGATTCATCGATCGTTTCCGCTCCTCTTTCAGCGAGGGTTCAGTCCAGCGCTCTTACTGTGCCCTTTTAACGCAACGGCTTATAATAGATGCTATATACTTGGACATTAACTGCATTATTTATATATAGCGATTTTTTAACCGAGTTGACTTATCAAAGTCCGACTTGGTCTATATTGCAAGAGAAGCGTTCTAACATTTTATCCCGTAGGTATAATAATCGTTATAAAATATCTTACATTATTTACCTTATTGGATCACTGTAGCAATACAGAGCTAGAAATGTTGACATCATAAACTTTTGCTTTCCGACGTTTCCAACTACTAACGAAAGATTTCATATTGAAAAACATGTTTCTCTCTCTGTTTCATATTTCTTCTGTATTTATTTTAATACGGATTAAATAACTTATATTTCTTTAGCTGACAACGGTTTGTATTTAAAAGTAAAAAAATTCACGCGTATTGAGTAAGAATCGGTCGTAAAGAAGCCAACGCATAAAAAGGAATGCCGCGAATGGAAGTCCGGCGTGTGAAACGAGCATTCTCGGTTGCACGTGGTATAGCATTGGAGAACGCGAGAGAAATCGTAGTCAGCGCATACGGATACTTCCGGTCGAGCGATTCTCTTTCAACGAATTCCGTATAATTGCGAGTATCGAGTATAGTGCAAGGTGTCGCGCGAGGCAAGGCCTCTTCCGTAGACGCTCTAGCAGGGCATCATCTTAATTGCATTTTAAACGATCGTTTGATATAATCCATCGTCGAAGCCAATTAACGGATTATTACAAACTACAAAGGATTCTAAGCGTAAACGATTAAGTTTTTGTCGATTATACCCTACGAACTATCTATATATTTCGTATCAGAATCATCAATTATCATTTTTAACTCTAGAAACGCACAAATAAATATATGTATATATGTATATATAAGCTGCTTGTAAAGCAATTTTTTTCCTCCTCCTCCAATAGAAGGCACGTCACTATCGATCGCGCCATATGTCGCCGTCGTTAACATCTTGGTCCAATTAGTATTAGCGGACTACAGAGCAACTCGCCCATATGTGACATGCAAATAGCCTCGCAAATGGACTACAATCGAGAAAGTTAGAAAAAGAGAAAGAGGGAAGAAGGAGACGAGATTTCGTCAGTCCGTATATAGAAAGCGACGAGAATGGTGTTTGCTCAGGCCTCAGCTGACAATGACTGACAATGCCCAACGAGAGATGAATGGTCACGCTTCCAACTTCCGCTTCTCGTCGTCCTTATTTCGACGACAGACAGACAGACAGACAGGAATTTCGTAGAAAATGGAAATGAGTGGCAATCTTGCCATCAAGCTATTCGATCGACGCGGCCCGTTATGGGGTCAGTTAATTAATTATGACTGATGGGGCTACTGACCGCGCGATCGATCGCACAACGTTTCCCTCTTGTTGTACCGAGGTCCGCGCGTGCCGGACCAGAGCAGAGGCATGATTTCATGGCTTCCGCCGTAATGAAACTGTCTGTTCGTTCACCGCAGTTCCGCCGGCGCGGCCGCGACGCGGTGGCGGTCAACGAGATATCGCGCTACTGCTGCATGTAGCGGACACCGATCTTTCTGTCGTATTTCGCTGGAAACTATACTGTCGAAATAAATTTCTCGCGATATGTCGCTTTGGTTATCTATAGATGACCAGTTTATCTCATTTTCTGTTTGAAAGAAATGTCGAATTGAAATTTTATTTCTGACTAAACCCGAGCAATTTTTGCAGAAATTTAACTTAAAGATATATCGGATATACATATAGGTATATATATTGTTTGGACTGAAATGTCATTTCTTTGTCAACGTATCTTGTTCTCTATCGATTTATAATGACATTTAAGCATATTTAAGCATTTCTGCAACAGATCAGCCAAGTGATAACGCAATCTCCTGTTATCTATAACCCAACAATATAACAATATCGAGTAATGGATTCAAATCAGATGTACACGACATGTGTATATATGTATATAAGTCATCTTTACATCTTATACGATGATAGCATATGACTATATATATATCTAATAATATATTTAAACAATGATAGCCCTATTCACTCCAATGTTTTTTCCGTCCCTTTAATCTTCGGATCATAACTCACGAACGAATTGATGAAATTTAATGTTTCAAAGCGCAAATTAAAGCTACTACTTTTAGCTTGTGAGGATTAGAAACTCGTGGGGACACGAAAGGGCTGGTTGGAGTGAATAGGGATAGCATTGATAGCACATATACAGCGGTTTTCCGTATTTGGACAAAAATTTCTAAATAGTTTATGTAGAAACAACAAACACGCGCAAAGGAATGAAAATCTTTCTCTCAACAACGACCCGACGTCGAAAGCTACCGTTTAATCCTGCCTTAGATCTACCGTTTGAAATCTCAGAAGTATAATAATCTTTGTGACTCATGGCAGGTGCGGATACGTCCGCTGATAGAGAACGACGAACGATACACTCACGAACGTTCTCAGAAGAATTATATCTCATGGAGTAGAAAACGTGCGGGCGTCTCGGGCATTGGAACGGGCACAAACGGCATGCACAGACCGGCAATTCTAAGGCCCCGGCCCGGCCGGCTCGGACAATAAGACGAACACACGCGTCCCTTGGCCTTGCTCGCCTGCATCGCATCCTTCGGAAACGATTAACAATGCCGCGATTATAAGCACGCGACGCAAGGACGCGGCCGTGCATGCGTTATCATCTCGCTAGACTCATATTTGCACTCCTCCGATAACGCGTTGCCTAACCGACTCTGCGATAACGATCTCTCTCTATCTCTCCTTTACGATAGTCGCCGACATGAAACGAACGTCCGACTATTCCGAGCGATCGAGAATGGAGCGTGATCACGCGCCGCACGTCACTCTGCAGTCGCTCTGCACTCTACGTGAATCGAGTTGAAATACGTGATTCAATTATATTGCGCGATTGATGTATACCGCGTTGAATATTGTTATAAAAGGGAAAAGAACGTGAGAGCTTTATTAGCGCCACAACTCAATAAAAATCAAGCCTCTGGCTCTTTGATAACGTTTCTCCTCCCCATCGCGCTTCTTTAAATAAATATTTATCGATCCCCGCGATGGGACGTCGCAAAAGTAACGTACATGCAAACTAAATGCATCCTAACAGGATATTCCTCTACATATATCGGTCGGTGTACGCAATGTGCACAACCGTAAAATTCCCAGCGCATAATAACAGTTGTAAAAGTGTTCTCAGAAGGTACCGAGGTACCGAGGTTACCAATACGCATACTTTATCGAAGAGAGCTTTAAAACGTCATTACACGCATCAGTGACGATTCTCCTCTCTCTCTCTCTCTGTCTCCTCTACTTTACACCGTGACGATCGCTCTGATTTCCAGAATAGGAGATAATCCATTAGATAGCTACAATTGAAGAGAATTTTGTCTCATAAATGAAACTATCGGATGCTGTCGTAATCGCTATGAAAATTTAAAGGAACTGCAGCTACATTATTACTGCGAACGTATCCGGATTCTTAGCTGCGTTACCATAGCAAATATCTGTTCTAACCGACTAATAAATATCGATAACGCAGCTTTTTCTGGAGATATATTCGATATTCGTCAGGCTAACTAATCCATAAGAAACGGTATACGCTACGCATTAAAAAAATATAGATGTTTAAAAAAATGTGGAAATGTCTCTGTAAAAATAAAGACTTTCCTTGAAATCTGTCCTCGATCCTCTGCAGTACGCGCCCATGCACGTGTCGACGGCATTCAGCCCGAGACGCACTTATACAGTTGACGACGTCCATTGCAATAAGCATGGCGATCGTGTGACGACAGTCGTTCCTTTAACCGTTCGAGCCAAATAGAGATCGCCTACGAAATCGCCTCTCGTCGAGATACCTACTTCGCTCACGAAAGTGAGGGACGGAGCAAGGCGAAGGAGTGAAAAAGGCGCGAACTAGTTCAACGAACCTGTTAAAGTCCATCGTGAAAAATGTGACTCACCGTGCAAGCGCGAGGCGCGAGGTATAATGCCGCATTATCCTGTTTTGTAAATTTATTAAAAAGCGATCGCAAGGTGTGTATTGTATCGAGGCGACGCAATGCGGTTTTAACGCATGACAGCGCGCGAAACCTATATCTTCAAACCGTACGCACTCCGTGACGAGATTTCTGATGTTGAAAGTATTAAAAATCAATAGAAAATCAACCACAAATTTTCCATCAAAGTTATCTCATTCCGTGGTATAAATTAAGATTATTCAAATATTAAAATATTAAGATTATTCAAATATTCTGGTGATTCGCGCAAAGTGCAGCTTGATGATTTAGATGTAGAAAATCCTCCGGAACTTTGATGATTAACGGATTTCTTGGAAATGATCGCTCACCGATCCGTATGTCAAGTACGTCATCGACGTAACTATTTTCTCTCGAGACCCTCGAGGGCGATTTACGCGACGAGTCCTTGCGCGTAATGCACAACAATGGCGTCCAATGTAAAATGAATATATAATTATCGGTTTCCAATTAATTTCAAAGTCGTCTCTAATATCTTTTCCGATTCGCAAGTGATGAAACGCGGCTGTATGCCGGTATAACGCCGCTGCGCTTTGATTAAGGACAATCAATCGTTCTTGCTTCAAGACAGTGCAGTTTCCTGCATCACGTTCGACGTTGGGGCATTTTAATCTTGCTACTGCCTTTGAGCCATGAGAAAATGAATCACTTCCCGTTCACGGATCACGAGACAAAGAAAGGCGGGACGCAAGGAGGACGCGCTCGCGACACGACTCACGAAGATCACGCCAAGATCACGAATTCTACGAGCGACCGTTCATCTCTGCTACCGCTTCTTCATTCTTCGCAAGATCGGTCGCTTAGCATGCACGACTCTAACTTTACAATACGGCATATTTTTCCCTATTATCCCGTACGTCCACTTTGTGCAATAAATACAAAGATTTATGTACAATTGAATTAATTATTTAAAAAATTATCTTCTTGTAAAAAAATTTTATTTAATAATAATTTAATATTTAATAAATATATACTTGCGTATCGAAGGTAAGAACTTCGATGGGGAAACAATTCTGACGTCATTCAACTACAAGACACTTCATTATTCACGATCCAAGAGTCAAAGCGACGCGATACAATCTGGGCTGAATTTAAAGTTTACTCCGAGGTCAGATTGAATATGACAGAACATATATATATTTATATTCAAGTCCCGATAGCATCTCATAATTTTACAGCGCGATATGAGACATCGCATTGCACCTATATTTTTTCACACCCTTCATTTGAATTTAATTTCTATACTCCTGCATTATATTTAGACATATTATAAATTCTTTTGCATTTATATCGTAGCCTTATAAATTATAAATAATACACTTGAAACAGCCAAAATTATGCTTTTCAACAATAAAATAGTGCATCAATTTTTGTCACTCATTTAATAGGACAGTAATGCGATCTCTCTTCGAAACTCCAACACATTCCATTTATATCCTCGATATTTCAGGCAGATTCCAATTTCATTCAATTATCGAAAACCCGAAAAACTAAGATCAATCCTGACGCCGCTCTCCGCTTGCTTAATTAATGAAACATGTTCAATTACCATGTCGTTGAAATTGAGAGGGAAGATCCACCAAAGTTGTCACCGCAGGTAGTCCACCTAACCTTAACCGCTCCGAATCATATCGCGGACACAAATGACGCACGTGACACACCGAAGATGATCACCGATGACACCGATCGCTCAAGCAGGTCCGCGTTTAAATGACACACGCCGCGCCGGGGGCCGGGGCCGAGACCGGGAAGACGCACGCGCGTGTACACACAGACACACACGCTCGATGTCGACGGGTTCGTAGTCCGTCGCGGACTGAACGACGAACGACCACCAGCACCAGCACGAGCACGGTGAGTCACCGCCGTCACCGGTACCGGGCTTAGGCTACCGGGACGCACGCTGCCTTTGTGAGAGGCGCGAGGCGCGATGGGAGAATTCGGGATTCCGCACGTCTCATGTTATTCTTCTGTCGCATGTACTTATACATTTTTTTTTTTAGAACGACTCCACTTTTTGTAAATTTCTTACGTATAACGCCCATAACACACGCGTCTCTCCATCAATCTTCTCTACCTTTTATTTAGCTCGTAGAGCAGATCAATTTGGCTTCTGAGAGACTCGTGTATCGAAGATTGTTGCTACACGTCGGATGAAGTCGTGAGAGCTGTTAGGGCTCTGTTTACTGTTGTGAGTCCAAGTAAACTCGTCGCGTTTGTTGATTTTGTCATCGAAACGTTAATGTCGCGCGTAGAGGTAACAACAGCCGAAAGGGGAAATCGGTATACATCTCGTGAAAGTTGACTCGGTACTTATTGATGTTTGTATACATGTCGCGATAACGAACCGCCGACGGCCGTTCCGTTCCGATGTTTGGTCCTGGCAAAACATCAATACAGCAGGTGGGACTCTCCTTTCACGGACAGGTGTATGCCTACGTATCGCTTTATCCATGAGTTTGCCGAGTTGCGTTAATCCAAGGCCGTTGTTAATTCACTTTCCACGGATGAACTCGTCCCAGTTTCGAGCGCGTCTCTGCGAGACGCAGTCTCCCGATTTCCGATTGCGCGTGTTGCTTTCCGTTAAGATCTTATTATCTTAACGGATATTAATATCTTTAAGGGCCAGTCGTGTTAGCTAGCATTTCGTAAAAATCGTTCGCGATTTTACGCTCCATCGCGAAAATGAAGGATCGGCATCTATGAAGCGTACGGAAAAATCAGCGGCAGACCGCGACTCTTAAAACCACGACACGGATGAATCACGCACATCATTATTATTATGTAGTCTCATCCGTGATGCTATATTGACGAAATGATATCTTCGCTTTCAAACTGAATGCGTGACTAAGTAAGGCGGTGCTCAATTCTTCGTTATCATCTTCACCGATTAGATTACTCCGCTGTCAACGTTGGTATCTCTATTAATATTATGTTACTCGTATTTTTCAATAAGCATACTATTTAAGCGTCTATTAGCAAAAAAAGAAATTTAGTGTTAATTTGTGCGGTTTACGATCGTTTTACATCGAAATTTGAATAACCGATCAGAATTATAAAAAAACTTCAAAAGTTATTACTCGAGCAACGTATCTAATTCGTATCTTATCTTTATGCGATAGAATATAGATTCGAGGAACCGAATGTTCAAACGCAGGAATCGCTTCTTCGACTGTTGGAAAAAAGCGTATAAAACTCTGAATGGTATTTTATGAAATATTTTGTTTCGCGGGTTTGCAATGAAATGTTTTGTTTATTCATGCATGCGATACAAAATTTCAAGGACTAACAGACCAGGAAAAAAACGCACTCCTCATACGACTACAACTGTTCGCTACACGTTGCAAGCGTACAAAAAGTGTACATACGAATGGAGATTGTAGAAAGATTATCATCGGTATTTCGTTTTGATTAGCGCAGAGCTCCGCTTCTCCGTCGTCGCGTCGGCCGTTTTTAATTAACCGTGCACTTACACCCAACTTACATTCACCGTCACATTTGTACACAACGTAGTATTTAGCCCTCTGTTAAATTATTTCTGCAGTCGCGTCCGTAAAAAGGTTCGGTTCGGAAATTCACTTACGTAGCAACTACAGCGAATAACGTACTCTTACCCGTTAGTCATCAAATAAATATCTAACAACGTAATCCCGAGAACCTCGACTATTAAAAGTAACGCAGTAGGCTAGATGTACATTTACATGAAGATCCGCACAGTTCGGCAGCGATATCAAGTACGTACGTTAACACGTGACGTATAGCCGTGTTCAGCATCAAGTACGCGCACCGCGTGCGTGCCAGAAAAGTGTTACGACGTTTAACGGCTTACAATTAATGAGAAAACGCACGACGTCGTGTACGCATTGTACGCACGCCTGATTGAAGCGTACTGTCGGTTGCAGTTTCATACAAGCACATCGCGTTACAATCAATTTACAATAAGGTCGAAACGCGGCTTGCAATTTGCAATAATGTCAACTGATGATACAAAAATCTTATCGATAATACGAATATCATAAAAGGGAGATATTTTTACTTTGAATTTTTTTCACGTCTGCGCAACTACATCGTACAACGTTTTCAAAATATCGTACTCGTACACTAAAAATTCAACGTAAGAGACCGTCTACGATCTATTAGCTATTTCGATATTGATTAAATCTCACTCCCCAAATTCCCAAATTAAAGCGTACTAAATTACCGTTGTTAATTAATAACGTTTGATACCAACGTCGCCATCAATAATTATGTCATCAACTAGGTCTAAATTATTGAAAACATATGTTACTTCTATCTTTTGGACACATCCTGTATATTGCCTGCCTTCAATCGTTGCGCAAAGATCATATAATCCGCTAACGTTTAACAGTTTTAACATTATATAGTGAACCTTTCTCCTTACTATATACAGCTGCGCATCGTCTATGATAACTTAATTTTACCGAGGAAGTTCTGTAAAGTGTATCGCGCAGAGGCTATGCCACGTTCCGACGATCTTCAACTCTCAATATTATTCCATTCCATCCCTTACGTTAAACAATCTGCTCTTCGGACTTTAGACCGAGTGTCTAATTAAAAATTTTGCTCTCCGAACCGGGATTTTTAACAATCAACACTCGCGATTATTGCAAGCAGAAATCCCAATCCTATTATTATACGCTTCTTGGAGAGTATTTGAAATAGAAAGTAGTTCTCTCAAGCGCAAACTCTTGAGTATCATATAATCCTAAATTCGACATTAGTTCAGTTATATGAACTTTGCTGATAGGAGAGCAACCCTCGGAGAGTATAACAAATTGAACGTGGCATCGCAAGAGATTCTTTTTCTTATTTAATGTCCATCGGATAATTTTGCTCTCAAAGATTTACTCTTATAGAGTGTAGAATCATCCAGATTTGGATCAGTATTCGAGATTTCTCGTAGAGTGGAATTATTCAGATTTGGATTAATAAGTAGCATATCAATTTTCCGCGTTTCAATCCAAACTTTTATCGTTTCCGTTAAAATTTTCTCGTCTCTTTTTTACATCGACTGGCCCAGCGAGAGCGGGTACCCTTAATTAATAACTAGAATTACATTTATATTGCAATTGACATCCGTTTATTTATACAATTAGCTTGATGCTCGCGGCGTTCTCCTGCATGGATTAATCTTCGTCTTACATTATCTACGTACCTAATTTAAGCGAATTAAATTTTGATTTAAGCTATAATCTCATCCCAGCCGGCTTATTAATAAGCTGCGGAAGTTCGTGAGATTCTGTGCTAATCCGAAACATGCGTTTTCCCTGACAACGCTAATAATAGACTAGAAAGGAGATTCTGTTTATCGCCCACCTGGGAAAGGCCGAAATCTCGCGAACCCCCGTTGCTTTATTAACAACGATATGTCGCGTCTCGCACAGTTACCACTCTAATTTTCTAGAGCCGTCTGTACTCTCGACAACGCTTCTCTTTTCATCAACGTCGGAAACACCTTAGAACACCGATCTCAAGAATTTCACGAATCTATGTCGACGATCCGAGATATGAACAGGTCTCACGGACAGGAGAGCGCCGCCAAAAGCCTCGACGTGAAGATCGGCATGAGATTCATCATTCATTAATTTACTTAATTTCTGTTTCACCTTTTTCCTCGCGCCACTCCATTTTCGTTCAGCTTAGGGCGGATTTCGAGCGAATCGAATGACACGAAAGGGTGTAAGACAGCGTAGGCACTTTTAGGAAAAATGGCTGACAGTGAGGTTGCGTGTCCACTCGAGAGTTAAAAGCCCTTCTTCTCGAGAACAAATGTCAACTGTACAACTTTATGATTAACGGAGAGTCGGGAGAGTCACCGACTATTTTCTTCAGAAATTTTTGCTATCGACGGTAAAAGTTTGCCACTTTCGGTAATAAAACGCTGGAGCGGACATTCAATCTAAGGTGTAAGATAAATCAGAACCTGCCTGTAATCAATATGTAATCATTATACAATTATATGTACTTTAATATACATACATATAAATCATATAATTACGTTAAATCTTGGGAAATCGCATTTTACAATTTCGCAAAAAGAAATAAGAGTTTATTTTTAAATAACGCGTATGCGTCTATAATTGTTAAATCTGTTTCAATTTTGTTTCACTCCTTTTCGATTTAATTGCATATATACGTAAAACGCGAGAATTAAGAGGTATATTCTCTCAAAATTTCATGTAATTTTATCAAACGCGACACATATCTGCGAAGGCAGGTCCTGACAGATCTTACTTTCATAAGAGAGACATGTCCTTAAGATCTATGTCAAGAATTTACACGCTGCGATGAAAGATGTTATACTCTCGCGATAGAATAAGATGACAATAAGACAAAGTGATTACGCACATCAAGCGCACCTATGCCCCCGTACATCCGAGTAAGAACGCAAAGAAACCGACAGCGGAATCTCGTCAATTTAACGCTGCCACGCAATATCCTTCACCATTTCCGTACTAGAGCTGCACGTATATAGTCTACAATTATCTACGAAACAATTGCTTTTCGTTGACGATTTAAAATAATCTAAAGTCTCTATAAGTAGCGTCGCCTTGTCAGTGACTTGTATATAATATATTACATATTCGCTTTTTTTTGTGTAGGTGTGTGTATGTATGCTCTTTATTTCGTCTCTTCATAATGTCAAAATATTTTTACTTTGTCTATTATACCGCGCGCACATTGCGGTTTGGGCGTCTTTTCGTGTTATCCGCGACTCACGGGGAAAGTTTCACGAAAATCCGGAGAAAGAGCACTCCTGTCCTCGTTCTTTTCATGGTAACACGATAGGCCATTCGATAACCAACATTGCACTATGTATGTATACGTAATGTCCGTCCGAGTGCAGGTATGGATCAAACAAAATCGAGCTTTTCTTACAGCCAAAATCTGTTTTCTTTTTTTCTTTCAAATAATATGAATAAAATATTGTAATACAATCAACACGAGATACACCTACCCAATTTCATGAAATATATAATTTAATGTAACCAGTTTTAAAAAATCGAATCAATGCCATTTTTAAGATGAATAATTCATTTAATGATTAAAAGATTTTTCCTTGCTCATTGCAACTGTGCACAGAAATATTCAAATTTACTTTTCAATAAATCAGTTATTGATATTGTTCATTAAACAAGTATATTATATTATATTGGCGATATATATTTCCGCAAAAGAATATTAATTCATAAGGAAAACTGGCGGAACTTAATATCTGCAAGATAAATACGTCGGTTTTGTGGATCCGTATTCTGCCAAAATAGCAGACGAGTCAGCAGTGAAATAACTAATGAGTAGTAATGAGAAATTCCGGGAAACTTAGTGAAATACGCGTGGTCATAAAAAGCGTTCTTCATAAAAACAATAAGCAATTTAAGAACATTACAGATAACATATAACGCATAAACACAATTTTATACATACATTCTGCTCACATCCCGATTAAATACAACCTTTGTACAGTTTTCTCTTTTATATAGAATTCTGACTTCCCGTCGGTCGAATTAAAACGCGTACGCGCGTTCCCCTCGCGCGTAAGTTTGCGCGAGATTCCGACCTCGGTTAATCCCTTCAACGCGATGCTTCTCATCTCTCCTCTTCCGGCCTTCCTTTCTTCTGCTTCCGGTAGCACTCGGTCTTCTGGTCTTCTCGGTCCGAAGCACTCACTCTCGTGCAACCAAGCTGTGATGCGACGCGACGGTGCGCAACGGGGGGGAAAGAAGGCAGGAGGCGGGAGCAATAGGGATAAGAGGCGCACGTTCTTTTCTCCGCGACTTGTGAGCCGTGATTTCTTTCAGTCACGAGTCCATCCTGGCAACTTGGCACTGAAGGGAGAGCGAGCTACGCGATGACGTAGGACGATCTCGGCCCGGTCTTGTCACATCAAAATAGGCCGAGCTTGGTCCGCAGGAACTCCTTGATCGGAACGTAATATTGGCTCCTTAAGGCCACCATTTCCGGTGTTTTGCGCAGGCTGTTGAACAGGGTTGTGTCCGTCTCGAACACCAATACCGTCACAATGAACAGCACCGTGATCGTCAGCATAAACGCTGGAATGAAGATCCTGACCACGTGCAGACTCCTGTGTCTGAGCTTGCCGCTCGCCGCGCGCCGGGCGCCCTGATGGTGCTGCTGCTGGAGGCTGAGCTTGGAATTTTGCAACTTCTGCATCTTCGGTACCGGTGTGACCGAACGACTGTGCGGCTTGCCGGATGCGTCCAACAGCTGACTCTCCGACGAGGAGTGGTCGAAGGAGTCCCTGAAGTAGTAATCGTTCGCCTCGCCCTCGTGCTGACCGACTGAAACAGAAAGGACGCGATCGATGCTATTGATTCAGGCTGCGTTAGCGAGTGACTCGTAAGGAACGAAGACGTTACAAGTGCGGAGACTTTCTGACGATCTCGCTTCGAAGTTTGAGGATCGCATTCGTAGAGCGTAGAGCTAGCAGGGTCTATTTACGATATTACGAACTCAACTGATTTGAAATAATTCTTTTTATTTATGATAACTCATTTCCATTGCATATTCGAGCCAATATATCATTTCTTTGCTTTTAACTCTCAAAAATAAAAAACAAAAAGCATGGAGGAACGTGTGAAAAACACGAAAGAGGCGCAAATAAAATAGCAGCTATTTTATGTTAAACTAATCCAATTTTATACAGATAGTAAGATATATATTTATATCATGCACCCCTTATATATCGCAATGCGGAATTGAGTTCAGAAGAGACAAGAATAAAATAACTCCCTTAGATATCTTCTTGAACGTGCAAATCAGCAAAATCGTCTCCAACAAATCACGTTATTATCGAGATGGAATAATTTCTGTATCTATAAAAGATATTATTTCCGTAATTCGTTATTACAATTTACTCAGCTAATTGATCCTTTATTCGAGAGATACGTGTTATCATTTTGACGATAAAATATTAGAAAGTTGTGTTAGAAGAATTTGAAAAGAAATGTTAGAAAAATTTCACGTCTAATTTCATTCAAATTATGATTTCGTTGAAAAAATAATACAAAAGGTTTCATAACGATGGCTTATTTGGGTAAAAGTTAGATCAACGTAGAATAGATCACATCGATCTCCACGAATCCACGATCCTATACGGAGGAGATCGACAGATGAATTCACGTATATGCGTGCACTTTCGCAATCGTAATTGCGATCGTTATTTTACCGATTTAACTACTATCGTACTTGGGGCTTGGTGCTATGTGACGGGAATCTTTCAGTGACTCATAAATATTCGAAACTCCTGAAAAGCAGCCCCGTCCAACGGCCAATTGGCAAGCACGGTGTCGAAGTGTCTCACAAAACATTTCGCGAATCCACCGGGGGTAACGTGTCGGATGTGTCGATTTATATATACGTTAACGCTGTTAACAGGCGCAAGCCCATGCAGACCGCAATAGTCGAAGCGTAACATAAAGGAAGAGGCAGGGTAACAAAGCAGAGTCCAACTCCAACGACAACGACAACGACGTATGAACGTATACACGCGGAAGTATGGGAGAGGGCGAGGTAATACGCGACTAACGGAAGAAGAGACAGAGGGTGACGGGTTGGGAAGGAGAGGAGGAGGAAACGGGAGGTCTTTGACATTTCAACGTCCTAGAGGGGTGGGGGGGTCTTCGCGCTTACCTGCTGCCTCCCGTCGTCCCGAGACTCCCGAGTGATCGAATCCATTCGACAGTCCGGGCCTCGCGGCCAGATTCGCGCAACCGTTGGCGGTCTTCGTCGTCGTCGATCCGCGGCCTACCTCGCCGTCGATCTCGCTTACCTCTACCCGCGTTTTACCGCCGTGCTCGTCGTGCGCGTAGTGCACGCTTTTGACAGGGATGCGTCCGTTGGCACTCGCCGGCGCCTTCGAGCTCTTGATTATCAGGGCGGTCGACCGCACCACCGTCGGGCATCGCTCGTTAGTCAGGGCGTTAATGCGCTGCCGCACGACGTGCTTGACGTCGTGGCCCGCCAGCTCCTCCGAGCCTATCACTATTTTCTGACTGTACAACGGTTGCGGTCGGTTCAGCGTGCTCTTGGGAAATTTCAGTTTGGCTTTCGCACGGTTTGTGGTGATGGTGTTGGAGGTGGTGATGGTGGTAGTGGTGGTGGTGATGGTAGTAGTAGACGTGTGGGTGGCACTCGCATGCGTATCATTTTCGTCTACGGCTAAAAGAACAGAAAGAAAAGGAGAAAACAAATCAACCGAAGGTTCTAAGAAGCCAAAGAAGCGACGGCGACGGCGGCGGCAACGGCGGCAGCGGCGGCGGTGACGGCAGCGACGGCGCAACGAACATCATCGATGCACGAAAGCCCGAACGACGTTTACTCTTCGATATTTAGCGAGCAATGCGAGCGGGCGGCGATTCGATTTACTACAATTTTATGCTTGTTAGAGTTCATTCCTTTATAAAAAAAAAGAATAATGTACGAATGTATTAATTTTCGATTTTTTTCAGGTCAGCTTTCGTTTTTCTCAGGTATAAGAGTAGTTAATTTCGAGTCGATAGAGATCGTATCGAAAGATTACCTCGCTTTCTAAGAAAAGCAAAATTCCACGTGTTATTCCGTATTATACGCTTAATCATGCATTAGTTTCTATCGAAGACACTAAACATTTTCTTACTGAAGTACCTTAACAACTATTGATTCGATCGTTGATATATCTGACTAAGAATACGTTTCTCCTTTATAGAATTCGAATACAAGCTTTCATCGGGTTAGTTAGTTAATATATCGCTGTTTTCATTGTCGTATACACATGCGTCGCGGCGATGGACTCGAATGGGCCAAGAAGCTGAACGAGATTAGGGAATCCAATGTTATGAACAGGAGAAAGAGAGAAAAAGAGAAAGAGATAGCTAGAGAAAAAGGAAAGAGAGAGAGAGAGAGAGAGGAGAGAGAAAGAGAAAGAGAGAAAAAGTGGCAGTTATCACGGCCGTTAACTAACCGTTGTTTCTCCTGGTGTGAATCTCTTGGTCCTCGGATACGGTCTCCAGAAGGGGCAAGGTATTGTCTGGACAATAGGGCGAGCTGAGGGGAACCCCCGCACCGCCCTCCAGCATCCCGCTGCCGTCCAGGCCCGCGCTGTGACAGCTACGTGGTAAACTGGAATATCCTGTGAAATGTGAGGAAAAGAAAGCTATTGCACAGTTCATGCATTAAGATCGCATTTCAATTACCTTACAATGCCTCTCAATTTTATGACAAATCGAAATCGCGCTGCTACGTAAAATTGCGGTAATTAATCCTCGGCGAAATCCTAAATCTGACTGAATTTCTACCATTCTACAGAAGAATGCATCCGTTAACACGGACTACCAGAAATAACGACACACCGTATGCAAATTACATAGCGGTAAAAAAAAAGAATTACTCACGTATTTCGACGAGATCCTGGCTCGGCGTGCTGGGGGTTGCCGGTACGCTGCTGGCCTTTCTTCTCAAACACGTTGTTTGGCAGCGTTGTATCGGCGGCTCCTCTTTCCGGAGTGGTCCTGCCTCCTCCAGAACTTCCCTTTCCGTTCTTCCGGTATATTTAAACTTGTATCCCCACGAAAAGATGGAGCCGCCACTCACCACCGGCGCGTCCGACGCCCTCGGCAAGCTGCGCACAGTCGTTAAAAATTACTCGTGATGCTAAATACCCGTGTGCTTTACGCTTTGCTGTTGCACAATTGGCAACTAACAATTATATATATATTCGCAGCGAACTACCATCGTGACAAAACGCTTATGAACGCGTTATTTCTAGACTTAAAAAAAAATCGTCAAAAATGATTAATCCACTGGTTCGGACCGTCGAACACAGTGGCACCGCGCAGACAGGCGCCGCGAAAAGATCGCAAGTATCGAAAATAGGCTTTCACCCGCGCGGAATCCAACTAAGCACAGAAGAGGGGATTTATGCTCGCATAAATTTACCGAGCGGAACTAACTCGGGACTGCGCTGGTCCCGCGATCGAAATCGTCGCGTTCGCCGTTGCGGCTAACGTTAACTCCCCGAATTTCGGGGTGACCCACAGGAATTCGCGTCCCTCTGGTTAATACCTCTACCTAGTTGATTAGATTGTCTCCCCTAACTGTTTTTCGCGTTTGATTCCAGGCGCGGCAATTTTAATGGATATAAGAATATTTTTTACTCTTGTAAATTGTTATAGTTCTCTGTATAATGTATCGTCAACATATCTTTCTCAGAAAAAGTTGACATTTAAAGCTGAACCAATACAGGTTGAATTTCTGTCGCATATTCTATCTCTTGCGGTGGTTATTAACGTATTTTAATTATTTGGATGGCGGCCAAATTACCGCGACAAAACAACGATCATTCACCATGAGCGATTTTACCATCTCTAATGCACACTCGAGACACTCCGATATGTATATCTTCATCACGAATAAATATGACCAATGTCAAGATTGCGTGCATCTTTCCAATAACCCTTTGATTCTTCCGTTTATTATTGTAATCACGAAATCTTCAATTTGAAGATTTTAGAACTTCCTTATAGAGAGCTTTATACTAGGCAGATTTAACAATCTTATTTTTGCAAAACAAAAATTTTGAGGAGTGAAATCGACTCTTTACTATGAGAAATACAAATTTAATTGATTTAGCAAATTCAATGGCAACGGCGCGAATGCTGGAGCTTAATTCCAGATCGCGTTGTCGTTGACGATACGTTTGTTCGAAAATGGTGCCACGTTATGTTTATGCGTTATAAAATTGATTGAAACGTACATGGGATGATATTTAATTACCTAATATTCGTAAAATTGCGATAATCCGCTACTGCAAATGTATAATACCGTACCCGAATTGAGACGATACGTTCGTCGCCGAAACGATATTCTAATATACAAGTATATAAGCATTCGTTCGGGGCATCCATCAATGCGCTCGCGGTAGAAACAGTAAATTTGGCCGCGCGATGGTAACGATAAACCGTGCATGTAAATGCCAGCGATATTTCTGGGGATCAAATGCATCTTTTACAGCAGCGCCGGAGCTACTTTTACGGCCTTCGTTCAATTACTTATCTCGGAAATTTCGGAGAAGCACCGCACGTACAGCGAGGCCAAAATGCGAAAAGGCCGGAAGACATTTTGGAAACTTCGCTTAAGCTTCAATCTAGTATTGAAAACTATAAAAGATCTGCGAGTGATCGGTCGTTATTAATCGAGGAGAAAGATAACAGTTTTGTTTCAGTCAAATAATCTGTTATATGCAGCATCGTACTAAGAACCCTCGAGAAAAGTCAGAAATAAAATTATAAAATGAAAAACATCTTTTTCTTTTTTTAATTTAAAATACAAGTTTTCCTTTGCGCGCGTTTGAATCGTCAATATACAGGAATTTGCGTAATGGAACATGGTGAGAACACGTGAATGGATAAAAGCTTCTTCATAAACAGCGGAAATGCCATGCGATGTAAAACACGGTAAATCTCATACGTGCTTAAAAGCTAAAAGGGAAACACGAATAAAGGGGTACTCACGTAAAAAACAGCATTTGCTCGATAGCGCATCTCCACACGTGACGACAGTTCGTTGCCGTGGGACATTTGAACCCGACGAGATGCTTTTTCTGAAAATTGCAAATGCGAAGACGCTCGAGAAATATCCTATCTTGATGTTATATTGTATGTATTATGCGAGGAAATATCCGCATGTTTGCAAAATAAATCCGACGAAGATCATCTTTGCTCTTTGGGCAAAATAAATAAGTGAAAAAAGAACGAGCAGATAAACTTTAACATTGAAACTTGTTCCAATAATCGATGATGATATTCTTTAACGACCATGCACGATGACAATCGCACTTGTTTGAGATTATTGCAATGTCACGTCGCGTTTGTACGATCGCAAAATGGAACGAAACGCGTGTGAATATTATCAGCTCGGAGAACACGATTCCCTACGTTTCGTGGCCGGAATTTCCAATTTGAAAATGAGACGGATATCCTGTAAAAATGTACAGTTTCAAAGTGACAAAGACGCACGGCAGTATTGTTCGTGGTTTTATTAGTAATGAAAAATAGTGCGAAGGCAAGAGGGTTCGTGAGATAAGAAAGATTTATTATTCGTAAGGCAACGTAAGTACGAGATACGTATCTCCTAAAGGCATCTATATTATAATTCCATATTTTGATATGGAGCCTAACCCGATCATATAAACATGTACAGAAATCGTTCCAAGCTATTTGATTTTTTGTTCGATGTTTCTTCTGATTTTTCTACATTAATCTCGTAATAATTAAATTTTATATGCGATTAAAATCGCTCTCTGACTCACCTTCGTCCTAACGTCCTGCGCGAGTCCAGCAGGGAGAGAAATAATAGAATTACTTAATTTACAATCACGTAGTATCTGACGTCACATGCACATACCGCACGCGCATACGCTGCACGCGAGCGAGTCATGCACGAACGAGAGCGCGCATTTTCACGTGCGATTATCGTAATATAGTAGTATACAGCGTTTGCAATTAGAAACTGTCGAGATAAAACAAGTTCTTTTCAAGGGTTTGAAGGTCTAGATTTCCTGAAAGGAACTTGTGTAACGTGATACAAGAAACGTGGTTAAATAATTTCAACGAAGATCTTTTAATGGACAAGGGTTTTTGTTATCGTCGTGCGTTTAACATTCAGAACTGAACGAGCAACATTACAAATTGAACAAACTTTACAACGAAGCAACGGTTTTCAGTTTTAAGAGCCTTCGTTTCCGTTTGATTTCATGCAATGCATTGCGTACACGATACATTTAAGCTAATTAAAGCCACGTCTTACTAGATGTTATTCCCACGTTTTTATTCTCCGTATAATGTATTTAATGCACCTTAATTTTAGCAATTAAATCATAATGTTACGAGATTCTTTTATACAACGTAGTATGCGTGAAAACTTCTCTGGAAAATTTTTTAATTATCATTAGATGAGGAATATTGCGTCGTGTCTATCACCGTTTTCGTTCGATAGATCATGATATCTAGACAGCAACAAATACGCTTACCTCGTTTATCGTCACATGCACGATAAACATCTTCCCTTCGAAATTGATCTTCTGAACTTCCGACCAGCGGAAATGCTGTATCTTCTTTGAGTCTTGGAATGTCAGGATCCCACAGTGGTTGATGCCCAGATGAAGCTGCGTGCCCTTGTCGGGATCCTGTAAATGTAACGCGAAACGTATTTATCAGAAAATAGAATCGCAACGTGGCCGGAAACACAATTCAAACGTTCGTGTGGATAATGTAAAAAAAAATTTAAAAAATTTCCATTTAGTTAATGTATTCGCTATTTCGAGAGACTATCCTGAAATCGAATCGCAATTTTATCTCTCTTAATTTACATCAAAAATGTAAATTTTGATCGACAACGTAGGAAAAACAGTTTACATGTATATTACTGCCCTAGATGCAACTAATTACGTGGAAAAGTTGTTTTATTAAAATTATCTGCAATTGTTATGTTTATATTTGTAACTTGTTACACACTCTGATCCATTTTTTCTACAAGTCTTTTCTTTCCACAATTTATTCAATGCTTCGTTATTGTCGACCACTTCCGATAAGTGTACATCGCGACGGTCAATGAGACGTTCGGCGTGTGAAACAGATACTTTACAGGCGAATGTGGTACTTTTCTCGAGTAAGTGAGAACATCGAACATCTCGTAGTCAACGAGATGCCGTGCCATAAAAATGGCTTTTTCCCTTAAACGGAAGACGGTCGCAACAGTGGATCGCGATTATTTCTTCAGCAAAAATGTCGCCGTGCAGCCAGGAAGTGGAAAACCAATAAACGACAGGTGCTACTACATCATCACGCACTCGTCTCTCATGAGGAGAGTGCAATGAATGCATCGTGACGAATAATAGCGGGTTGTTTTTCCTCGCAAGTGATACGAACGCGAGATTGTTAGTTCGCCGAGTCGCTTATACATATATCGTAGTTTATTTGTCAGCGAGAGTGTTCCGACAAAGATAACTGCGGTGGTTTCAATGGGCGCATCGATCGACCGAGACATTAATTAAACAATAGCAATAGTGTGTTACACTAGCGGTGTTGAAAGTGTGTCGGTGATGAAGTTAATATTAAAAAGCATTTTATCGTTAGATTATCGCTTGGGAGATGAATCATTTTGTCATTTTGGATAGGTTTTGCAAGAAAGTTCTTATACCTCGTGAAATAAAAATAACGCAGGACGTTATATAATACATAACATTGTGGCTCCCCTATTGGATAATTTCGAATTCTAAGGGCCGGTCTCACAGTCTCCGATTAACGTGATTCTCCCTAGATTCTCCGATTAAACTCACTCTTCGTCTCTTTCTAGGGGGATAGTTAGAAAGAAATGCAGAGTGAGTTTAATCGGAGAATCACGTTAATCGGAGACTGTGAGACCGGCCCTAAAATGTTCACTTTTCGACTCATACAAGTTGGAAGGCTATCTGTACGCGGGTTGGTATGTATCACGGTAACAATTGGATAAAGATGTCTCGAGCGAATCCTCAATCGGTTGTCGACGAGGTATAATAGATGCGCTCTCGAGAAAATCCCTCGTGGAAGCGTTTGCTCCTCGTTTGAATATCAATGAACGCTGCTTCATATTCTGCGATATTGGAGGAGACGTCAATGGCAGCTAAAATCAGTTATCTCCGAAAACGTTTCCTATATATATACCTTGCAGAACCGTCCAATGAAAAATGAAATCCGTTGCATGAATCGAATTGCAGATTAAATGTGGGCTAAATGATGTAATGAATGGAAATCTGTATCTATAGTACCTTTATGCGATGTACACATTAGCTTATATTAATAATATTTATATTGAAATTTGTAATACTGTCGAATCATCCAACTCAAGTTTTACACGTAAAATAATAACGCAATGACATTCAAAACATTTAATTATCACATAGTAATAGTCAAAATGTAATTACATAGATTTAGGTTTGAACGTTCTAAAGCAGAGAAATATCACAGATATCGGATGGCGGAGTAAAAAAGGCCGCCGATTTATGAAACGAACACACAAAGCGCGATCGTTCTCTCGCGAGGAAGATAAACCGGTTATGAACTCTTATCGACATAGGCGAGATATATGGACTTTTATCCGCGATACCTATACGGCTACATTCGACCGTGTTGAAATTTATTAATCCACGTTCATCTCGATCTCAAAACTTGCAACGAAGTCTCGTTATTCTTACACCTGGATTGTGATCTGCACTTTTAATAAGGGTAAAATAAACGATGCTTTTCGCTACATCCTCTGAAGAAACAACTGAGCTCATTTAAAAACTTATTTTTTAATCTTGAAACAATGAAACGATTTGTAATAATAATAAAAAAATTGTAAAACATATAATTCGAAATTTCGAATCTCTAGTTGAGCTAAGCAAGTTACTGAAAGCGTAATCCTATTCTCAATAAATCATTGATCCTTGAATTTTCAAATGAATTTGACAAATAGACGCCACTCGTAAAAAAAAACGCGTAAACAACGTTTATGCGGAGTTTCGTCAAAGGATAACGTCGCTAACGGATTGAAACGTATTGCCGGAAATAAAGAAGGGCGTCATTAGCATCACGAAAGGAAACGACCATGAGAGCTCGCCCGAGTTGGTCACGCTATCAACCCGTTAGCAACATTCAAATTCGTTCCTCGACAATGTGGTCGCCCACATTGTTGTTGATCACGTCTACTTTGGATATACCATTGAGACCCGTCTCCTCGAGATCTTTCTTGGAAAAGTTCAAATACCAAGTTTCTAGGTTCTGTTAGTGATACCGTCAATTTGCTATTCGCAAACGACAAAGTTGGTACGTATGGAAATAAGAGCAAATCAAAGAACCTGAATTGAAAGTCCTTTGACGTTATTCATTCGCTGTTACAAGGAGCGTGCGAGGATAACGAAAATTACCTTGACCAGATGTGGATCTACCGCGTACGTGTCCAATTGCGAGGCTATCCTAAGGAAGTAGTTTTCCGCTTGTTCCGGGGTGAACCCTTTCAACTGAGTCTGATGTAGCTCCATCGCCTTCTCCTCAATCGTCGGCGTCTGCGTCTTCAGCAATTTGTGCTCGGAGATATAGTTCCCTTCGTGGATTTCGGGATCGTAATCCCCCAGTTCACCTGAGAATTCCGGAAAAGAAAGGTCATGTTGTAAATATCAATCGCCCGTTTCTTCTCATTTCTTATGATATGTATAAATATACATACATGCAGAGTTTATTCATTTTACATATATTGATAGAAAAATATTTGAAAATTATGATTGTAGATTTCTAAAATTTAGAAATTCCTTCTTTGTATCTAGTTTGCACAAGAAAGAGATGCTTAACGGGGGTAATTACGCTTTAAGATGACAATCGCATGACGGATAGTTGGAAAAATGACTGATGCTTATCGCGACTATTACTCATATCACAACAGGGCGTGAATGACCAGATATAAATCGTCTGCGATTGAGAAATGAGCGCTACTTGAACCGGATGTCGAAGACAAATGACAAAAGGAAGCAAACAAATCTCTCGAAATATCGAACTAAACTGCGGCACTCCTTATCTTTTCCAACTGATGAGAGAGATCCATGTAAAGAAAGCCATTTTTATTTTGCGAAGAACATACGAGGAATCTGCATGAAAAACGGCCTACTTTAGCAAATAGGGGAAAAGCATACTGATCGGATTCCGCTCTGAAGAACGTAAGAACGGCTATCGCCAAGGTCAGCAAAAAGATCCATCGAGGAGCGAATAGTTTTTGTAGTTACCGTCGCGGTTCGCTGAAAGGTGAACGATCTAAGAATTGATGGTCGACGACCGAAGTTTTAATGCAAGAGTCACGATCGGTAGAAAGTGGCGGCCCTCATTGATTGGCCCGTTACATACTTCTCGATAACGAGATCGCAAGACAAACAAAAGATTGAATCCGTACTTATATAAGAGGACACCGACTCCGGAAGGTTACTTTCCAGACTAACTTCGATCACAGTCTGAGATTCCGTAAATAGACAGTTGTATTTCTCGCCGAAGCACGAGAAACTAAATTTAACGACATATGCATATACGAATGTATAATTAAAGATACCAAAGGTCGATTACAATTGTATCAAGATTGAATATGCGCAACTCTACACTAGTCAGTCTAGTAGCTAAATTGATTAATCTGTATTTAAACAGCCTCCATTATTCAACTACTTACTTCGTAATAGGCTTAATCGCGATTCACGAGAGATGCTGACAGATTTGAATTAGCTGAGATTGTTTTTTTTTTTTAATAAACTTCAAAGAAGATAAATAGTCGCAAAGCCACACAATCGTATATTTTACGGGAATGGCGTTGCAGGATCGATATGGACAGCGATCAACGGGCGGGGTGGGTGATACACGATGACCGTGATAGGTCACTGGAAAGGAAATCCTGAATTATGGGATTCCCGAGGTTGAGATAAAGGAATAAATTGACCGTACAGACACATGAAACGGAGAGAAGCTGAAGCTACAGGAACTGTGGCTGCACATGCCATGCGCTATTCATTGTTCACAAACCCAGTATTAGATATAAAATCATATTAATCGTTGTAATCGTTGTAATCCTACTAATCTACCAGCTTAGAATTATTTGATTTAACTACTGTTCTCAAGGAAAAATTAATTTTGAATTATTTAATTTATGAATTAACCAGATTCTTAATAAATAATTTTGATTAACAAAAAATAAGATTTAAATGCATGGAAAATGATAAACGGATCAACGGATGTACGAAGGAAATAAATTCAACCAGTCTCTTTTTCATTTACAAAGATGAAGAGCATTCTCGCGTAAAGCTTAAGGGCGGTCAGATGAGTCTTTGCGCTTCGTTGTCTTTTCTATCGCAAAGACATGATTGTGACGTATAATAAAATCCGAAGATGAAAAATCGGCGAAGGATGACAAGCGGGATGACAAACTTACTTTGCACGATGCAACCCACCAGAAGCGCTGCTTCACCGGGGCTGCAACACAAACGTCCGTAAAGCAGGTCCCTTTTGAGCTGCTGGTACACTTGATACCTGGTGATCTCCTCCTTTAGCCGCAGAGGATCGGGCGGGTAGAATTTCACGCGAAAGCACAGCAAAATCTCGTGCATGTCTGGAACACAGTGACAGCGAAAGGTTGGATATGTTTCAGAGAACCAGCATCTTCGCTTACGACCTGTGTACTTTTGTCGTGCAAGGGAAACGCTACGCTCGCGATCTAACGTCCGATAAGCTTCTCGATATAATTTCACGCGCTTGACCCGAAATATATCTTGTATAATCTTGGTCGCAAATTTATTTAATACAAGCATGCTAAATATATATTTATCTCCTTCATACAAACTCGTTACGAATATACGAGTGTACGTTACAAACATAAACCTATTAACAGCGTAAGGATTTAATTAATAGTACAACTATATAAGTTAATAGCACAAATATTGCTATCGTCGTACACCTCTGTGTATTTCGTAGCATGGTATATAGCCGTACCGCAAAAATTCTGCACTACCTATTAAACCTTCATTACACATGTATATCATTGTACATTTATTACATAACTACGCGATTTAATATTAACGCAATTAAAAATAATTGTATAATGTAAATTTTGAGGTAATTATTCTCAATAATCAATTTTGTGACAGAGCGATATATTATATCGATTTCCTCTCTCTTCTCGGAACGACAATCGATACACATGCGATAACAAAGGAAATAAGTAGCATTTGCTAGTATTCCGCGTGTATAAAAACATTTGAGCGAAAACAGAAACGGAAGCGGACGGTAGACTAATGGCTTTGCAAGTGGAAACGCGACGTTCGTAAGTTTTCATTTCGAGTGAATTTATGATTATCCTGTCGTATGTGTCTCACGGAGAAACATTCGAGCGTACCGTGCGGAGTCAAGTGGATATTTATTTTATACAAATGAGAGGAACAGCTGGCGCAAATATACACTTACGAACGTATCGCCGCGCCCGCACCGATGCAAATCGGGCTCTACACTCGGCGGTAATATAACATCGCCGCCTCCGTAATGCGAGGTCGTGATCCCATTCGATACGGTATCATTACGGCTCGTTGCCTTCGACAGATATAAGATACTGTCTCTAGCACTGATCTTCCGCAAAACATACGAATATTAAGTAAATCGAACCAGGTTGCATTTAATCCGGTTTGACTATGATAAACGCGCGTCATGCGATTTGTAAAGTTACAAATTGTGTTTATGACGTAAATGTATCATTAATATTGTCAACTTTACGAGCATTAAAATCAACAGGTACGCGACAAAGACGCTCGTTCGCGGTCCACAAATATCTCTGAGTTCAAAGTCGGCCATTCGAGTTTATTTAATTCCATTGCAAGGGAAAAATCTCTCTCCGCGACTCCTGTCGCACCTTCAATGAGCGCAAGAATATTTTTTTATTATTCGCCACCACGCGACATTTAATCTTTTTGTCGACCAACTTGCGTGATCATCGGGAGTTTTTTTTTCGGGAAAAAAAATATCCTGACGCTTTCGGACAGGTCTGCTCCGAAGTCCGTTCAAGTTTACGAGAATAGGCCAGCGGGTCGCGACTGCTTGAAACTTTGATGTGACATCGACCCGACGTAATCGGGCGCGGGAGGGAAAAGTCGTACCTCGACGACGATCGACCCTGCCTCGGTCACAGCTGTTCCGCTGATACCTGCGTTCTCTGCGCGGCGACGTCATTGTGGCCGATCGACTATAACGCCCTTTACGACATTATAGACTTATAGAGTTTTCGCGGCCGCGGTAGAACGGGATTGTTTTCCCGAACCTAATAAGACGTTCGCGCGACGTCGATTCGTGCATTTCGAATTACACCCACATCCGTTGTGTCGTTAATTGCCTCGCGTTACACGACGTTACCGCGAATAAGATGTTTGTTACAACTTGAGCGCGCCTTCGCGGGAGAATGCTCGGTATGCACCTCCTCGAAAACAGAATAGAATGAACAGAGAAACGGTTTTTCGAAACTTTCTTGTCAAAAGATAGCACGATAGTAGTTCAGTTTTATTTAAAAATCCGCGTTGTTCACAAATAAAAGGTAACGTTTGTTAAGTTTTGAATAATACCAACCTTTTACCTGCTTAATCGCCGTTTTCGCTAGGTCCAGCCAATGCTGCAAAATAAAAAATTCAAATATATATAACATAATATATATAACATAAACACGCTATGGTAGATACGTAAGGGGATTGCAATACCGTTGCGTGTCATGCGAGACTAAAAATTCTTATCATTTATTTATTATCGCTAGTCCATATCCGACTGTTGTAGTTTAACAACCATTCTAATGTTTAAGTATTTATATTCGTGACATAAATTTAAGATATTTGAAATAGTATTTTGCCCTCTGTGTCTGTTTTCTTTCTAAACAAGAAACAAAGATACGAAGCATGAAATTCGTCGTAAAATTTTGTCGTAATAGTCTCTGATAATACAACCCCCGTAACAACCCCCGCTCGCTTGTACGCATGAGATATTTACCATTGAAAATTACGCCGACGAGGTTGCGCATCCGTTTTAATACTATTTCAGTGAGGCCAGTGAAGACATTAAAGTGACCATTACGTTGAACGTGCTAACGCAAGTGCGTAAAGTGTACGCGGTACCGTCGACAAAGTAGTAGCTTCCACAAAGACTAGTCGTCGTTTCGTGCGACTATTAAATTAGTAGAGATTTACGCGATAAATTTTAGGAATCTATAACATATCGGATCAAGGATCAATTGCACGGAGCAATTTCAGGCTACTCCAAACTGCTCAGTGGATCCATTTGAGAGGATAAAGCGGATCGTGAATAGCTCTATAGTTCACCGTATATCTCGTTAAGCCCCTCGTTTACAATATGGCCACCCTTTAAAAAAAATATAGATCTCGGCAGGCGTTGCTCAGGGTAGTAACAATCGATACAATTTATCATCCTCGAGGGATTTTTAAGTACGGGTCTCTTTCGCGGTTCATTGTCGCTTACCGAGTATAAATGCAAATTCTAAAAATTGTCGCACTGCGCAAAATGCGATGAACGATCATTCACAATTTCCATTAAAAACAATTCCCGTTCGTACGACATGAATTCAATTGCGAGTCGAGAGAACAGCGGGAGCTGTGCATGCCTGAGGATAGGGTGCGGCGCGTTAATTTTTAAAGAAGACGGCGATGGAGCCGTTTGCGGACATCCGGACGAACAATATCGATTTCACCGGGCCTTATAGAAACCAAAACTCGGCAAGATGTTGTTTTATATCGAGATCGCCAGGCTACATGTCTTCTGTTAAAAAACGAGGAATAAAAATTATTCAACTAAGTTATGTAGGGTTTCGCGCATATTCTCTCGAGTTTATTTCGTATTTTAACGACTATATACACTGAGAAAAAAATGTTGTAAATTTGATTAAACTCGTTTAGTTGTAGTGATTTGTTTAATGCAAATATTAATCTATTTAAATCAAATATACGTGAGTAATATCAAGAAATTCTGAATCTATTTAAATATAATATTTTTTGAATTAACAAATGTTAGCTTGACAGCCCGTGACCGCTGCATTTAGTTGAATCAAATAATATTTCTTTGAATCTACGACTTTTTTTTCTCAGTGTATGTATAATTCGCTCTGTAAGATGATAATTTCTTGTAAAAGAAAATTTAAAAATATCTTTGTTAAATATAAATTTAAATACGACGGAAAGAATGAAAAATTGCTGTTGCTCTATATCGTAAAAGATATTTTAATCCCTCAGGTTTGCATTAAAATTAACATGATTTTCATCCTGAATTAAATTTTCTACAACTGAAATTAAGATCGATGTCTTTTTCCGGCGCACTCGTTCACTCATGAGATATTTAAGTGAAAGTGCACGGTTATTTCAGATAGACCAGTTCTTCAGGAATGCCCGTAAAAAACCAGCAAACATGAGAAAATTCTCCTCTTCTGAAGTTTTGCTTAACTGAATTACGATTTAATAACGTATCTAACGATTGACTTTTGTTCAAAATAATGACTGTGGAATATACAATGTGTGAGGTATAACTTTTACGCAAAATATCCTATCTATTATTCTTTCTTTTCCTCAATTTCGATCGTTATTAATTTCAATGTGAAATGAATATCGCCGATATATTCGCATGTACGTGTATTTAAATACATTCACATTTTCAACGCGTTTGCAGGTCTTCGTGACGATAGAACATTTATGGGGTAAATTAGATTTGTACCCTCTGGCCCTGGAATCGCGGCGATCGATGCGTTGAAACGCACCGTTGACGTTGTACGGAACGATATAAATATTATTTCATGATCGATAACAAATATTTTTGCCCTCTTGTATCTTATTCAAGTAAACTGAAGCAGCAATTACTACGGCAGGCACGATAGTTGTATCGGTTTCATGATAAATTAAATTAATATGTCTGTTTGGAAATAAAAATTCAATCGCGTAAGTTTTAATTTGGAATATTACGGAGAGGAACGGAATAAATGATTAAGCCATTAACGCGTGTTCGTGAGCGAAGTACAATAGTGTACTACGGTGAATCGTTGGTATTTCAAGGCACGCCTATTTTTAAGTCCTCCGGAATTACACCGATGACCTAAGAATAACGATTACGATGGAGTGTACGGCGCATGCCATGCCGTTCCAGGTGTTAGTAGAGCGAATTTAATTGCGTGACAGAGATCTCTCTGTCTTCCGCAAACATGTCGACCATTCTCTAGAGTAACATTTAGGATAAAAAACAAGCTGTAATTATACGAATACTTTGTGTCGCAAAAATTATATACTTGATTTTGACTCGCTCGCAAAGATATCCTGAAGAGACAAGATATGCAAAAGAAGTATGACGTCTTGGGAGCAGCGTTTCTCTAAGAATTCACCGTCCTATAAACGCAAATTTTTTCCCTTACCCTTTCCCTTTCTTTATCGACGTAGCGAAGCCCGAAGTAGTCCATCTCCAAAATGTTGAGCTGCTTACACACATATTCGAGGATGTATCGTCCTTTTTCTTGTGGCTGCAACAGAAAAAGAATCGTCATTAGACGTAATCAGTCCTTTTATGCTTATCTTGTTTCCTCTGCTTTATTTTTTACGTGGAAAAAAAAAACGCTGGGGGGCAAACAAAAAGAATGGTGTATTATTGTAGTAGGGCTAGCCTTACACTTAAGGAAACTTGTAATACTTTAACAGTCTCTCTCTCTCTCTCTCTCTCTCTCTCTCTCTCTCTCTCTCTCTCT